GAAATGCATACTAGAAATAAAAATATTGGTGCAGTGTTAGGGTTGGAGAGTTGGAGTGGAATTGAATTAGCTGGGTACCAAATTGAACATGACTACTGCGCAATCCGAGGTTGTCATACATAGACATGCATATACTATGAATACATGCATGTGTAGAGACAAGTTGGCTATAGTGTATGATTTAGTGTTATATGTTTGTATATATATCAAACAAAAATTATGTCGTTTTGGGAGAAGGGATTATACATTTAGGGATATTAAACCAACATATATCTGTTTAATCTCAAGAGGAGATTATGAGACAAAGACTAACTTGCTTCATTAGACACATTAATAGAGAATCTAATTTATATAGTAACACATCATGATCACTTTGATCCTGATTTACATATTTTTTAGAATTTTCAAAAAACAGGCCAAATGTAAGACGTAACTTGATAATGTTACACAATTTTATGTCCTCATATTTAATTAATGTCTTGCAGGGAAAAAGTCAGATTCGTGGAAGAATGGAAGAGATAGAGCCATAGACGCTATCCACTAATATCTTCTTTCGTTCAAATTACAGCCAGACAAGCGACGACCCAAAAAAGATGCAAAAAATTTAACCCGCGCATGCACAGCTTAACTGGTCACAGAGGTGAAATTTTGAAAGAATGACCAGGGATCGAGTTTCTGTAGATGCAAGATATAAAGTGAAACTTACGATTATTATTTGGGAGTACATATGCATGGGGTAAACTTCGCTCTTATATTAATTCTGCACAGAAATCATAGCTAGCTAGAATTGGGTGGCAGAGGTTGTTCTGATAATTCAATGATTATTAACGTTGTTATTAATTCGTCCTTAATCCACCTTTTTTCACATAAACAGCAACTTCATCGTCTGGTAATGAATAATACTACAGTTACCTGTCTTGTCATTTTTCTTCCAAATAATAATAATGCTTTTGAATGCTATATTTACTACTATTAAAAAAATAATAATGCATGGGCAGCTCAGTTGATCATAGAGATAAAGTTTGAGAACAATGATCCGATATCGAGTCTCAAAGTGAAGGGGTGTGCGCAGTAACAACAAAAATGTATAATATCATTGTTACAGCAATGCTTTTCAATGTTGTATTTTCTAAAATAATTAAATGTTTTACAACAATATTAATTCTGTCAAAATAAAATATAATTCTGCTCAATATGTGCGTGCTATAATAGTGAAATAATGAAAGAAACTTGCAATCACTATACAAAATAAATTTTGCATTGTAACCTTAACCGACAAAGAACCACAAGAAAATAAATTAATTTAAGTTATCCACAACTGATCATCTTAAATCAAAGTCAAATTTCAGAACTTCTAATCTTGTGATTACTTAGTTAATAGCCTAATTAATCTGTCAAGAATGTACGCATGCAAAAAATATGGTCAAAAGTCAATTTTGTGGTAGTCATCAAGGGACGAACAGAAACAGATAAAAGTATAAAAATAATTTGGGGGGCAAGGAATGGTCGTGCTACACATGAACACAGAACTCATGTAGGAAGACGACTTTGGTAGTTGTGCATAGTACTGAGAAATCCTGTCCGTCCGATCAGGCCGAGGTTGTCCGGCCAGTTTGATTATTCAATGATGAGCAGTAGTAACGAATGTTATATTATTACACTAATTCTATGCTTGTTGGCAACTCTTTTAAATCCACCTTTTCCCATAAGCGAAGCATAACCATCATGGGTATCATGGATAATTAAATTAATTGGTTATGTTGTATTCCACATATCTCAACTAGTTGATTAATTTTTAATAAAGTAAATAATTATGTTTTGTTATTTTTAATTAATAGGAGTTGAAGCAATTGCATTAATAATACGTCTATTTATCAATTACTACTAAATTAACTATATGAAGTAATATATTGAATGGAATCTATTAGTTTTATGACTCATAGATCAACGGTCCGCCAACATAAATCATGGAACAACAAGTGAATAAATTAGAAGAACTATTTAAATAAAAAGAAAAAATGAAGAGAGAATAAATTAGAAGAACAAAGAATTGATAGCAATATGTGTATTTGTGTATTAAAAATCATAAACTCTTTACAACCCCCCCCCCTCTCTCTCTCTATATATATATATATATATATGACCGAGAATGACCACGAGCTCCCTTGTCCTTGCCCATCAGAATCATATATAATGGAACTTAACAATTATATTACGAACTAAAATTTCATTTTATTAATATAATGTTGATAATTCGTCACTCAAATAATTATTGTTGATTTGTACTCCTGATGATTGACGAAGAATTCTAATAATTTTTATTTTATTATTCAGTAATTCAACATTTGTCACTCCAGGATAACTGATGGTTATCCAGTTTCGTCACTATATCACAAGATCAGTATATAGCATGATTAGCATCCAACTTTTCCTTATTAGGCCCTAAATTTAATTTTTAATTCTATAATTTTTTTTCAAAATAAAGCGTATGATAAAATTCTACTCGGTTTACAACAATTTATATAAAGAGTACTTAATATTTTTACTTATTAAAAAAATCACAATAAATAAGATTTAACGCAACATAATTAATCTAATCAAATTTTACCTAACAATAAGAATATTACTAGAGCATACAAGAGAAAACATCAAAATTATTGGAGGAATAGATGACGCGTTCTACATCAAAGAAATACTTAACTAGTTGATAAGTCATTTGTCAAATTTTCATTATTTAGTTAGCTTTTTTGAGAAAATTATAGCTCATTGAATTGGCCAACCTATAGGCCAGAAATTATTACTCGGTTTCTTTCTATTTAGAAACTTTACCCCTAATAGATAGCTTCTACCAATAACCTATTTCCTTTCATTTATGCAATCTTGGCTCTTAAAGTAATTAATAATTAACAATTCATTATGTAATTTTGACCTCGGGTAATGATTGATGTGATATAAGTCTATCTTAATTTAGAATTAAAGGATAATTTAGTCAATTTGTCTCTTTGTTGAGTTTATCGCACATGATCTTCCTAATACGATTTATTTATCTTTTGTGATTTGTGAGCTGTTACATAAAAGTGAGTTTATTCAAAAAACATCATCAAATAATAGATGCAAGTGTCTTCGTCAATATCTGTTGTTAATAACCCATTAAATCACTATTAATTGATGTCTCTTTTTTTTTTTTTTTTGGATGCAATTTACCTAACAGCACTGCCGTGGATCATGCCATAAAGATAAGTTTGATTACAATTTTTTATTATTTTATATTGTTTCAACTTTTTTTTCTTGGCTTGATATGAGTGACATGTAACTAATTTCCTAATACAAGTAACTTACAGAATAAAGACGGTAGTGATGACAAAACCAAAGGATAAGATTTTGCAGTTTTTTCTTCTTGAATTTTAAATTATTTAATTGAATGTGTTGTTACCGTATTATTTGTTATCTATAATATTATATATTTTAATATCACAATATTAGAACATTTGATAGATCCTTTTTAAATAGTCACGGATTGCGTGAAGATAAAAAGTGCAGATGTTTTAATCGAGATAGAATGTGATTCAAAAATTGTATATAGTGAAATGATTACATGGTGTTAAGATGTGGCCTTTGTTTTACTTGGTGGGGGCATGTAGCGCGAGTAGCATGCATTGTTTGTGTGGGGCATGAAGTAAATACACTAGTACATTGGCCAATGTTTTACATGTGATAGGCCATCCTGTTCACATCTAGTCCTTAATTGTGAAAGTATATTTCAAAGATATCGTTGAATTGCATGTATTCCTTATCTCAGGAACTTTTCTTTTTCGAATTCTGAAACCATTTATTTTATTGTTAGAATTTCTCTCTCTTTCTCTCTCTCTTTCTTTTTTAATTATTATATACATCATAAAGTTGAATATTATCTATTGTGATTGATATAATCGATCACTTTACTTGCCTTTTTTTAATAATGTAAAGAAAATGCTCAAGATTCTATTTTCATCTATATTATTACACTAATATTCTAAATTAAACTACACAATACCAAAATTTAGCCATCATCCTATGCAACATCTCACATCATATTCTAAATTAAAGTTAATTACATATTTACCTATCAAGAATAAATAAAAATTTCACAATGTTAAAAGACACTAAATATCTTACGTGTAAAAACTGATCTAGACATCTAGTGAGTAGTGAGGAAAAGTCATGAAACCTAATGTTAATTTGTGCAAGGCCGACAGCCACCTCTCCTAGTGCCCTACGTAACTAACCTTCACTAATTGCTATGTTTGACAATAAACAATTAAGTTTCCAAAACACAAATTAAATCCTAGTAAATTCATCGATGATGTCTATGGTGATGGTCGCACAACAATATTATTTTCATGATGCCTAATCTCGTGGATAGATTTGAAATTCTATTTTATTAAAATGGTTTTTATTTTATTTTTAATTAATTAATTGTGGCGCTAAGTATAAAGTTTCTTCTAATAATTACCATGAACAGTGAAAATTGCCTGGTAAGCCGGCAGGCTTATTCTTGTCTTTGACCATAAAAATAACGAGAAAGGGTCGTAAGGTCAAGAGAAGACAAAAGAAGATTAGCTGGGTGTTGCTGAGCTGGCCGACATTTTGGGCCCACATGCCAACCTCGGGACCTGACAAAATGCCGTATGTGGGTCCACATGTTCCCTCCCGGACAATCCTCAATCGACAGCACCGGCGACAAAAATACTAAAATGCCAACGCAGGGTGAGCTCTCCGTCAAACGTCCACTGAAGAGGTTACTATAATCCCTGTAGTATGTTACGTGGATCGTGACGTCGACACCCAGTCCATGCAGTTCTATATAAAGCGAAGCTTATTCTCGTATTCTACGCAGCAACTTATAAACATCATCTCCTCGATCATATCATATCCATCCATCTCATCATTTGTCACTTGCCCAGCTTAATTCTTTCGTTCTTGATTTTCCGGCCACCAATTCAGTTCTTGATTTTCCGATCATGGGTGTGGACTCAACTGTGTCGTCTTCTCCTCTCGGCCCTCCAGCCTGTGAGAAGGACGCCGTTGCTCTGCAATTCATTCAGGAAATGACTACGAACTGTGATCCCGTACAAGAGAATGTTTTAGCGGAAATCCTTAGCCGGAATGGGGAAACCGAGTACCTCCGGCAATTCAAGCTGGATGGTGCTACTGACCGGGAAACATTCAAGTCAAAGGTTCCTGTGGTCTCATACGATGATCTCCATCCTTACATTCATCGTATTGCCAATGGAGATTTCTCGCCAATCCTCTCCTCACACCCCATCTCCGAGTTCCTCACTAGGTATATATAATCTTATAAACGTCTTGAACCTCTTTGAATCAAAATATAGAATCAACAACCTAACTAACAGTTCTGATCATGGGACCGGTTTTTGGTATCAAAATTTTGTTCAATTAACTATCTTAATGATACAGTTCTGGGACGAGTGCCGGAGAAAGAAAATTGATGCCTACAATTCCTGAGGAGATGGACCGCCGACAGAAGTTATACAGCCTTCTCATGCCGGTGATGAATCTGTAAGTGAATATCGTAATTAAGTTTTTATTCAGTTTATGTTAGATTATAAATTTATATTGACATCTAATTTTGGAATTGCAGCTATGTTCCTGATCTTGAGAAAGGGAAGGGCTTATACTTCCTGTTCACCAAGGCTTCAACCAAGACGCCCGGCGGCTTACTTGCACGGCCGGTGTTGACGAGCTACTACAACAGCCAGCAATTCAAGAACCGGCCGCACGATCCCTACAACGTTTACACAAGCCCTAACGAGCCGATCCTCTGCATCGACTCCTTCCAAAGCATGTATGCTCAGATGGTTTGCGGCTTGCTGATGCGCGACCAAGTCCTCCGTGTCGGCGCCGTCTTCGCCTCCGGCCTCCTCCGTGCTATCCGCTTCCTGCAGATCCACTGGCGCCAGCTCGCCGAGGATATCTCGTCCGGGATTTTGAACCCTAATATCACTGACGTTTCCGTCAGGGACAGCGTTACTAAGATCTTGAAACCCAACCCGGAGTTGGCTCAGTTCATTGCCGGGGAGTGCGAAAGTGAGAATTGGGAAGGGATTGTCAAGAGGATTTGGCCCAACACCAAATATCTTGACGTGATTGTTACCGGTGCAATGGCGCAATATATACCCACTCTTGACTATTACAGTGGCGGTTTGCCCAAAGCTTGTACGATGTACGCATCCTCGGAATGCTACTTCGGCCTCAACTTGAAACCCATGTCTCCTCCGTCCGAGGTTTCGTACACCATCATGCCCAACATGGGGTATTTCGAGTTCCTGCCGCATGATCCGGCGAACCCAGTGGCCGTGTCACGTGACTCGCCGCCGCGGCTAGTAGACATGGCCGACGTGGAAGTGGGGAAAGAGTACGAGCTCGTGATCACCACCTATTCCGGGCTATGCCGTTACCGTGTCGGAGATATTCTCCAGGTCACGGGATTCCACAACGCGGCGCCCCAGTTCAAATTCATAAGGAGAAAGAATGTGTTGCTGAGCATAGATTCCGACAAGACGGACGAGGCGGAACTGCAGATCGCCGTGAACAACGCGACGGCGCTGTTACGCGAGTACGACACGAGCGTGGTGGAGTACACAAGCTTCGCTGATACCAAAACCATTCCTGGGCACTACGTGATTTACTGGGAATTGCTGATGAAAGATCCTGCGAATCCTCCGTCCGATGATGTTCTGAACAAATGCTGCTTAGTCATGGAGGAAGCCCTGAACTCCGTTTATCGCCAGTGCCGTGTGGCGGATAACTCAATCGGGCCACTGGAAATAAGGGTGGTGAAATCCGGAACTTTTGAAGAGGTTATGGACTTGGCCATTTCCAGGGGAGCTTCCATTAACCAATACAAAGCTCCTAGGTGCGTTAACTACACCCCCATAGTCGAACTTCTCGACTCCAGGATGGTGTCTGCGCACTTTAGCCCCGCCGCCCCTCATTGGACGCCGGCACGACGGCGCTGAACAATTTGGTCCGCCGTGAATGAACCAGGCTGCCGACCAAACATGCTCCTGCTATTTGGACAACATTATATTATTAATAAGTTAAGGTGTCTCCGTTTAATTGGTTGTTTATATTTCTGTAGAAAGTGCAGGCAAGAGTACAGTAGTTGAATTTTCAGTGTACTAAGTCCAAATAAGCTTCTGTAATTTTGTGTATCTTGTTGTCTGTGGTTATTTTTATAAATAAATTAAAAATGTTCTTTGGTGTCATATATTATTGTTAATTGAGTTTTGAACCCAAAGACACTAGAATTGAAGTATGTGGGCAACACAGAGGTTAAGGATGAGCAAAGACAATGCAATAATCTATCTAACTCTATAATAAAGCAACAACTTCTGGCCTAAAAAATTATCCCGCCTAAATGAATACGCCGTCGTTTTATCCCTATGTTATTGTCTATTGCATTTTAGCGTCTGACGTATACGATGTCGTTTGCTATGCTGTCAGTCCAAAATTCGGCTATTTAATGCTGCATTTATAAATGTACACATTCCAAATAATATCTTAAATACTACTTTTATCTTACCAATGCAGAAACTATCTGAGAAGTCGAATGGTTTTTACTTTTAAAAGTAGACCACTACTGAAATGTCTATATATATTTACACAGTACTACAAACAATATAATATAATAAAGACGGAAATTATTTACATAACTCAATTTTAGACTTTTAGTGAACATGAATGACTTGTCAAACTATTTTTCATACTGCAAATTGTTATAAAGTATTTATTAATAATGTGGACATTATGAGTACCTTTTGTAACAGTTGTAACGCTCATATTTATATCTATCATTTACTGCTTTCCGTTACAAATGTATTATATATATCTCTTCCTTGTACTCAAATGAGTAGTTGATATAATGGAATCTTTACTCCTCTTTCACCCATATCTATTGTTCTATACTTTACTTTTATCTTTTATATTATTGATACAAATGCTACAACTCGCCGGTTAGGAGCTAAAGGCCAACGAGCACAAACAACATTACAACACGTTATCAGCAAGCTCAACTCCACTCCGGTGAGCGGTAAATCATGAATATTCATATGAATATTGTATACCCATGTGATTATACCTGTTTATTTTTTTTTTCTCTTGCTATCTGTGATGCATATACCCGTGCTTATTTGACTTTACAATAGGCAACTCTATTCCGTAATTGAAAGCATCAAATACATTTTTTTTTCTGCAATCTTATAGATGTATTAAAACTATAAATTTGCATCCAATATTTTTCACAATTTCAAATATTGTATTGTTTTCAAGTGTTATACTAAAATTGAAATTCAAGTATTCTTGTATATATTATACAAAAACCCTACTCTGGAAATTCAAGTTTGTACGATCGTTTGACTTTTCTGGCAAAGATAACTCTACCCGGAACAGAAAACAAGAAAATTTTAATAAGAAAGTAACTTCGGCTTCATTTTAATACAAAATTTTCAGTATGTTTATAACAACAAAAATCAGTGTGTATCAATTTTTTTTCAAAAATATTTCGAAATATACATAAGTTTTCCGAAAAGATGGAGAATACATTCCGGATGGTTGCCGGATTTCAAAGTGAATGTTTTATGTCACTGCCGACGAAGATGCATGGTCCAGGATGCCGCTCATTCCAATGGGTGTTGAGTGGCGCGGGTAGGTGACGGTGATGGCGGCGACGCTCCTCCACGAGGTTGCCGCTACCGTTCACGATGTTCCGGCTTAGGGAGGCTGTGGCGACGGTGGATCCCGCTCACATTTTCCGTCTCCGATTTGCCACCATCTTTCCATTCTCGATCTGCGTTCTGGGGATGGTGGCGCTGCTTTGCAACGGCGACGACGGCGTTATGCGTAGGTAAAGAAAATTATTATATTTAGGGGGAGCAACAAAATATAAACTATAAATAATATTTATTGGTCCAGATGATCATGAGAAAATATGATAAAATCTAATGACAATCCTGAAGATTGTGCCACATCCCTTGATAAATTCTAATGACAATCATGAAGATTGTACCATATGAACCATGACCTGAAAAATGAATACCTTTCTGAAAAAGGATTCCTTTGCCTTATAAAAATCCCTGATGGATAGTTTTAACTAGCAAATATTCCTAGCCCTTCTTTAGACACAATTTGATTGACTTAACTTGAGATTTCAAGATTTCTAAAGTCAGTGACTGATTATAATTTGACTTTACACAAAATTGTGTCCCAATTTAACTCTGCACCTGTGCCCGAAGCACACAATGTTGCTCATTCATGCAACACCAAGAGGGGCCGAGGAAGAGGTCGCGATAGGAATCAAGGCAAAGGTGGCAACAGTAACTCCCGAAACCATAATACACAGCAATATGATCCAACTCGTCGAGGACAACCACTTTCATACAATTTGAACTCTGGCCCAACAACGAGTATGCTTCAAGTGCGGGTGTACAGGGCACTGATCAAGTACGTGCCACACCCCGAAGCATTTTGTTGAAAACTACCAACAGATTATAAAATCACGATAATGAGAAGTAAAAGGTTGAATCCAACCATGCTGCATTACCTGAAGCAAACACTCTTGTTGGTAATAATGTTGATCTACTGAAACACGAGCTCAAGGTTTGATCATTATCTACAACCCTCTAACTTCTTCCTTCCATTTGATAAATGTTTTCTATTGTGGGCTCCAGAAGAGCGTCACTCATACTACCTAAGGGTACTTGTTTAAAAATAAAAATAAAAAAGCACTCATATACCCTTAATGAAAAGAACGTTGCTTCATATGATCATAATTCTGGCCCAACAGCAAATATGCTTCAATTGTTGGTTAAAAAGGCACCGATCACGTGCGTGCCACATCCCGAAGCATTTTGTTGAAACCTAAATGAACATCACAATGTTAAATCAATCAAGTTGCCTTGCCTGAAGCAAACGCTCTTGTTGGTTATATTGATGACCTACTTTTTCATTCAACATCATTTCAGTGATGTCTTATTTTGGAAGATCTTTATACAAACATCTAACTTCTTCCTGCAATTATTGATAAGGCTTCCTTTGTGGGTTCCGGTAGAGCTTCACTTTTACTCCATCAATTTTTTAAAATTGAAATGCCTTCATTCGATCAAATATCCTACTTTGATCAATTATCCTTCATCTGGTGAGTAGACATATGTTACTCGTTCTTCATAATCTAAAAAGAAGGATATGATCTAGTATCTTATGGATAATGCCTAATTTTCGGATTATCCTATGAACTTCGTCCACTTTTCGGCGATTATTATATGACATTACGAATTAAGGCGGAGTATCAAGTACCTTATGCTCATACCCAAATGGTTTAGCTAATTAATAAAGTTATGGCTTATTAATAAACCATTATTTTTCAAAATTTCAATGTGCCGAATACTTGGTGGGGAAATGCTAAATATTTATACTTGGTGGGGACATGTCCAAAATCAAGTCTTAAAGTCGTGCCCAGTTTCATCCAATAATACGAAATCAGCTGAATTATGTACATCTTGCCAACTCGGCAAATCCTCTAGATTTCCTATAGATAGAGTTACATCTTCTAGTGCGAATGTGTTAGATTTAATTTACACGGACATATGGGGTCCGGCACATGTAATCTCTACTAGTGGATTTCGTTACTTTCTGCTCTTTGTAGACGATTATTCGCGTTTCACTTGGTTTTATCCCTTACGGGTAAAATCTGATATATATAAATGTTTCGAGTCATTTCGAGTCATGGTAGAACGCCAATTTTCGCGTTCTATCAAGTCTGTTCAGTCTGATTTAGGCGGTGAATACCGCAAACTGCATCTTATATTCGAAAAATTGGGCATTGTGCATCGTCAATCATGTGCATACACGCACGAACAAAATGGCCGCGTTGAACGCAAAAACCGACACATAGTTGAAACAGGTCTATCCTTACTATCCGAAGGCTCTGTTCCCCAAAAATATTGGGACTACGCCTTTGAAACAGCCACAACATTAATTAACTACTTACCCACTACTGTTCTAAACAATGAAAGTCCTTACAGTCGTCTCTACAAAACTACACCACCATACACTTTTCTTCGAGTCTTCGGGTGTCGGTGTTTTCCTTATCTTAGGCCTTATAATCGCCATAAGATGGATTATCGCTCGACACCCTGTGTCTTCCTAGGGTATCCCTCGTCCTTTAGGGGCTATAGATGCATGGATCTAACGAGTGGGAAAGTTTATATCTGCCGTCATGTACGTTTTGACGAAACTGTGTTTCCTTTTTCAGACTTGACAGAACAGGATAAACTAGTATCTATGTTACCAGCTCTTCCTTGGGCATCTAGCCCAGTGGTAACACAAGTGGAGTCCATGGATCTTGTCGATCCGGTTGTACGGCGTTCTATGAGCCCATACCGTTGGCCCAAGAACCCGCTCCTTTGATTATTCAAGGCCCGTTCGGGCTGTTACTCGGCGGAAGCGGGGCGCACGCACTGAGCCTCGGGAGCGAGGCCATGTCATGAGACTACGACATATGACTCGGGGTACGGGTGAAGAGTTACAAGCACTCACTGTGACTACTGATCCCACTTGTTACTCACAGGCAGTGGGCCACCCAGAGTGGCGTGACGCTATGGACCAAGAGTTCAATGCGTTGTTACACAATAATACTTGGACTCTTGTGCCTCCTAAACCTGATATGAATATTATTGGTTGCAAGTGGGTCTTCCGGACCAAGCGGACTGTTGATGGTTCTGTTGAACGTTACAAAGCTCGACTGGTTGCAAAGGGGTTCAACCAGGTGGCGGGCGAAGACTTCTTTGATACTTTTAGCCCTGTCGTCAAACCGACAACAGTCTGGCTACTGTTTTCTCTGGCTATCTCACGTAATTGGACGTTAAGGCAACTTGATGTCCATAATGCCTTCCTAAATGGACATCTAGCAGAAACGGTGTACATGAAACAACATCCGGGGTATGAAGACCTGACTCATCCAGATCATGTTTGTCACTTACAGCGGTCGTTATATGGACTTAAACAAGCCCCTCGGGCATGGTTTAAAAGACTACATGATTATTTACTGTCCGCAGGGTTCTCGTCTTCGAAAACAGACGTCTCGCTTTTTCACTACTCCGCTGCTGATTCCCGAGTATACCTTCTTGTATACGTCGACGACATAATTATGATGGGTAATGACCCCACGCTCATTAACGCATTACTGCAACGTCTGTCCGCGACTTTTAAG